GTATTTATCATATTTTACTGGGAACAAATTCCGCAACATTTTTATTAAAAGAAGTACTCTGATTTTTATCGGTCTTTTCTGGTCGTGAAAATGGAGATGTCATAAAACTTAAGGCTTTTTATGGCATTATCCAAATATTAATTTCAATTTGTTGATTTTCTGGGATTCATTGAAATCTTCAAAAAGAGTCAAAATAAGATAAAATTTGTTACCAAACAATTTAAACGTAAATTGCTATTGTTTCCAAAAAAAACATAGAATTTGAATGTTATATGAAACCGAAAATTGCAGCAAGCTGAAAAAAAAAATCGGGGTTACATTAATATTTATGAAATTATGATTGATTTATGTTTTATTTAGTACAAAATTTTGTACAAAAATATAAGAATTATTCAAAAAGTGACACGTGGCAAGTTAGCATGGTAGAAAGGGGACATGTGGCGGACATAGAGGGTCTAAAGGGGTGTTTGGGATTGCTTTTGAATATCAAAAGTTCTTTAAAAGTTCTTTTGGTAGAAGGACTTTTTATAGAAGGACTTTATGCAAAAGATGATATTTAAAATGTGTTTGGATTAATAAAATGACTTTTAATTTAACTTCTAGTCTTTTATATGTAAAATCCAAAAAAGTCACAAAATGTGACTTTTTGAAGTCTCTCTTTTTTCTCTTTGCAAAAAATCATTATAAAAAAAACTTTTTTACTATCCAAACATCTTTTGCCTTTTTTTTTACTTTTAAAAAAAAAAAAAGTTAAAGTCACCCTCTAAGGGTGGCCAGTATAACCATTCAAATTTTAAAACATCACGTAATTTATTTCGAAAATTTTCTGACGTAATTTAAATTTACCACCTCCAAAATGATGTGTGCTACAGTGGAGTTTTGCACGCAACTACACTTATTATAAAATAAAACATATGGTAATTTTTAAATAAAATAAGAAGGTTATTACTCTCGTAAAGTTTTGAAGTATTGTTCCAAGTGGATCCATAAAATTGGATAAATTTTGGCCATTATCTTTATCCAATGTGCAAGTTTGGTCCTTTTGCTTCAAAGTAATGTTAGATCAAATTAATATAACTATTTAAAACGCTAACCACAACTATTTCATAATAACGTGGAAACACAGGGTCTGTACAGAAATTAACATATACCTAAAGTCCATTTATGTAATTTGAGTTAGCTTTTACCTTTCATCTCAACAAAATAAAGTCCTTGTTTTTTGCTCCTCCCTCCCTCTCTCTCATCACCATGGATTCAACACTTCTTCCCTAAAATTCATAAACCCTCAGAGAGGATTACTACGTCACACGATTTACAAACAATCAAAAACGAGAATTATCAAAACCTTTTTGGGGGTTTGATTTGTTCCAAATAGTTATCTTGATTTTTTCGTCATCTTTTTTATCGATTCGTTTGAGGAGTATTATGTACAGATCTGGAGCTGTGATGGCTTGGAATGTGTTCAAATTCTGTACGGCCCTTAGAGGGTTAGGCTCGATCATGATCTTGTTGGTTCTTGGTGTTGTTGGTGTCACCTATTACGCCGTCGTCTTGTGCAATTATGGACCTGCTTTGGCCGCCGGTGGCCTTGATTCGCTCATCGCACTTCTTATTTTAATCGTATTTCATACCCTGGTAATCATATTTTTCTCTCACTTCCCAGTTCATATTTATATCTATTAAATTGAAGGTGTTTCTGGGCGTTTTCTGTTTGTATTATAGTTCTTAATCTAGCAAATTAACTTAATTTAACCAAGTTCGTAAGAGGAAAATTGGGAAATTTCAGCTACCCGAGTCATAATTTTGATGATTTATAGAGGTGTGTGCAGAACCCCATGATTTTAACTGTTTATATAACAGATGTTTGGCGATTTAGGGAAAACTTCATTTTCAGCTGCGTAGTAGTAAATGCGTTGTTCTGTTTTAGCTCATATAGTTTACAGGTGGTGTAGCTTCACCTCTGAGACACTCGACCTCTAAGTTCTATATATGATTATAAGTTAAAAAAAGGAAATAATAAAAAAGAAAATAGTTATCACAAATTCAAAAACAGAATCATTGTTGACCTAATCAACAACATTTGTGGTGATCCAGTTGGTGATGCTATTATGGAGTTATTTCTCTGTGGTGTTCACGGATCCTGGTGGTGTGCCACCTAATTATAGACCACTAGTGGATCAAGAAAGAGGAGAAATCGATCCATTAGAAGCATCTGAATTTGGCCCATTGAATTCACCTGATCCAAACAATTCAAGAATCCGGTATTGTCGCAAGTGTAACCAGTTAAAACCACCTCGTTGCCACCATTGTTCTGTTTGTGAGTTCAATTTTCCACTTTATTTATAATCTTTTAGTATTTTCTAATCTTGATTCTTTAATATAAAGAATGTATGTTTTGGTGCATATGTTATATAGGTGGGAGATGTGTTTTGAAGATGGATCATCATTGTGTGTGGGTTGTTAATTGTGTTGGGGCACTAAACTACAAGTATTTCCTTCTTTTTCTGGTACGTTTGATAATCCTCTTTGTCTTGTAAAAAGTGTATTATAGGTGAAATGTCTAAAATACCCTTCAATGATGATGATGATGCAGTTTTACACGTTTTTGGAGACAACGGTGGTGACTTTAGCCTTGCTACCACATTTCATAGCATTCTTTAGTGATGGAGAGATTCCCGGGTCACCTAGCACTTTAGCAACAACCTTTCTTGCTTTTGGTATATCTGATAAAATTTTAAAATCCTTTTTTTTTTTTTAATGATTTTATAACCACCCTCTTGTTCACTTATGTAATGATTATTTCTTTTTGCAGTCTTGAATTTGGCTTTTGCTTTAAGCGTGTTGGGGTTTCTTATTATGCACATATCTTTGGTCTCTGCTAATACCACAACAATCGAGGTATTGTGTATTACAACAATGTACTTTCAGTCTTTTTCTTATTAAAACATTGTACTTTATAAATATACCCAATTATAACATTGTACTTTCAAAAAAAAAAATTGTTAGGACATTAGAGTTTTCAAAACACAATGTTGTGATAGAAAGAAATGGAAGCAGGATGCTATAATAAATAAGTCAGTGAATGTACATTGCTATTTCTTGGTCAAATCTTGCAATTTATAATTTATTTATGTTTTTGTGATCAGGCATACGAGAAGAAAACCACTCCAAAATGGCGTTATGATCTTGGTCGCAAGAGGAATTTTGAACAGGTATTGATTATATAATGATATTATATCTACCCCTTGTTCTAAAGCAGTTGATAAAAATTTGATTTGAGTCCATGAAATTTGGCTGTTTTGTCATTGTTGAAGTGCATGTGAAATGTTTGGTTGTTTCTTTTCGACTTAATCTGGACATAATGACTTAATGGGTTAAGCCAAACTACTTGGCTTGATGTATCAAGACATTAACTTAGTTACCTATTTTCCCTTCTTTTTTGCATGTCTATTGGTTTAATTTATTGAAAATTTTCAGGTATTCGGAACTGTAGAAAAGTATTGGTTCATTCCCGCATACTGTGAAGAAGATTTGAGAAGAATGCCTGCTCTTCAGGGCCTGGAGTATCCATCAAAGCCGGATTTGGATGCCCAAGAATTCTAAAATCATCCAAAAAAAGAAAAGACATGACATGTTTTTGGTTTATAGCATCACCCTACACCCCCAACACACCTCATGATGTGATGCACTCAACTGATTTTGGGACCCGTTTTAACTTGGTTAGAAGTAGCAGAAGGGGGAGGAGGTAAATGTTTATTTGTTGGGTTTGGTCAGGGTTTGTGGAAGGAAAAGTTAGTGTAAGAAAGAAGCTATATAAGAATGTACATTAGTAACATTTTCAACAGTTTTATTCTATTCTCCACACGTGAAATCAACTTTTAACTTTCTGTCGCTTTGGCCATCAACCTTTATAGCATTTGGCTATGGATCTGATAGAAGCATGATGGAATAGACCAACGAATGGAATAGAATTGACCAAATTAGAATATGGAAAATGGAATAGAATCATGAATGCCCTTTGTCAGTCAATGTTCGGTATAGCGAAAAGTTGTGTTTGGTTAGAATGTGATTAATATCAACTTGTGGTTTTTTGTTACAAATTTACGATTGATTTCATCATCGTTTTGCCATTGAAACTATCCCGGTTAATACCTTATGGTATTCCGGTTAAAATTTTAGCAACGTGCTTCATGACATAGCAATCGTGTTAGGGTAGCTTGCACGAATACAAAGAACTCAAGTATTTTTATTAAAATGTGCAATATTTAGAGCATCCATGATACATACATCAATTTGAGAGTTTGAATAAGGTGGCATGTCTAATTCTCATTCAATTGATTAAGGGGCTGTTTGGTAGAATCTGAATTTTTAAGATCTGAATTTTTAAGATGTCTGAATTTCTAAGATGGTTTGAATTTTTAAGATCTGAATTTTAATATGTTGTTTGGCTGGAAGCTCTGAATTTTTGTGCTGAATAATAAAAATGACCATTTTACCCTTCAGTATCATTTCGTTCAATTACAACAGCATACCCTTGAAAAAAAATTACATCAAAGTAGGATGCTAGAAATGAACATCATGCATATGATTTTTTTCATCAAAGTACAATGTAAACTAAACAACCGAATATTTCAATACAATTTTCGGCCAATAATTTGGTCAACATCACACCCCATACAAGGTTTACATGATATAATGCATATGATCTTTTTGGTTCTTGAACATGTGAATGAAAAAATGTTGCTAATCTACAAAAACACACGGAGAGGACATCTTCACCATTAACATGCAACAACCCATCACCCTCTTCATCACACACTACCATCATACACCATTACCGGGCACCCACCTGTCATCGACCTTTATCATCATCATCGCAGCCTTCACGACACCATCAACTTCTATTCACTAGTCACTTAACAATAGATTTCAACAAAAATTCAGCACATAACAGCAATATTAGCAATAGATTTCAGCAAATGAACAAAATCAGCAACTTGTATTAGCAACTACAAACACATTTTCAATAAAATAGAACAAAGGTCAGCAACAAATTTTAGCTATGCATATCAAATTTCAGCCATACAAAATCTGAAAAATAGCATTTATATTCAGCATTTGAATAAAACTATACTCCACATCTGATTCAAGAAAAAAGAAGAAAAAAAAAAAGTTTTCTATGAAACCACTGAATTCAGGGAAACATCACCAACTGCGTATCAAATCCATCACCAAACAAAGGTATCTTTGTGTTCTATTTCCAATTCACCAACCAATTGGTTGTTTTCTTTACTAAAATCTACAATATTAACCAACCAAATTATCATCTTCTATCTTAAGATTTCAAACAATATTCATATACATGTATCATATAACGATCCAGTACTTAACCGGACATGAAATACAAAGAAAATCAAAATCAAATCAAAATCGAGGACTGATAATCGAGTTCTAGGGAAAAAAAGAAAAAAAAATCGATGTATTTATAATAATCGGTTTTCAGGGAAAAAGGGAACAATTGTTCTATTTACAGAAATCTATTTTCACGAAGAAAAAAAAATTACCTTGCAACATCAGGTCGTCGTCGCTGGCGGCGCTAGTAGAGGCTGGCGGAGGCGGCGAAATCAATATCGGAGGTAGCAGATGATTGTAGATCGGAGAGGTATTGTAGATCAGAGAGGTAGGAGAATGGGTGGAAGGGAGGAGAAAGGGCAATGCTGTCGAGCTTGGCGTCGGAAGTCATGGTGGGAGTCGATTTCAGGGAGGTAGACGACGGGAGGAGGTGATCGGTGCTGGAGATGGTCGAAGGTGGGAGGAGACGGGAGAGACGATCTGAAGGTGGGTGCGTAGTTTTGGAGGCGTGTATCAGCGTATAAGGGTAGAAAGGGGAGGAAGCGTGCGTTTTTTTTTTCAGATACAATATGAAGTCTGAAAGTTTAAGAGGTTTTTATAAAATTAAGAGGCTTTTGTTCCTATGCTACCAAACACTCTTAATCTGAAAAATTAAGAGCTTGCCTCTTAATTTGTCAATTAAGAGCCTACCAAACAGCCCCTAAATTCTACAATTGTGTGACATGTTGACATTATTCAATGGATATGAAGTTCAATGGTTATTGAACTCTTCAATAGGAAAAATGAAACTTTTTAACTGTTAAAAATATATTTCCTTGAATTTTATAGAGTTTTAATGTATTGTAGGAAAATTAATATAGAGTTGTATAGAAAATAAAATGACGATGTGTCAATCTATTAAACTCTAATAAGTTTAATACATTATGCATGCTCTTATACTAATTTGGAAGCATTAAAAAGGTTGATACGGCGAGAACATATCTCAACCATATAATTATATAATACAATTATATAGATCTAAAGACTTCAAATAAAAAAAATCATAATTATCAATAGGACAATTTACTAATTTTTCATGCTAATTAAATAATAAAAAAACTAAATAATCAATGTTTTACAAAATAATAGGATTGCAATCTATCTGTTACCAAAAATTTAGCATTTTAGTATGGAAAATCAATCAAACTCATAATGTTAAAAATGTTAATATTTTTTATACATAACTAATAGATTAATCATACATGAATATACCAACGACTAGAAATCAATATTTCTTTTTTTCTTTTATTTATTCAGCCATTGTTACATTACTATAGCTACATGAATTCATATATTTATTTTCATATATTTATATTCATACAATTATATTCATTACTAATTATATTATGAATGAATCAATACATTTATTCTGATAAAGTCATCTTCATAATGATTAAGCACTTCAGGATCGAGACCTTCTATTCGTACATGATTACAATTGATTTATTCTCTAACACATGTAGATCGAAATATATTTACACTGTTATATTTATAAATGAATCATAAATGTATATTCATAGACGAATCTTGGCATGTTGCACATTAATTATATTACGTAGTTGAAATATTGGAAATTATTTTCTTATTTAAAATAACTTATGAACGTTTAATTCGTATTTTGTAAGATTTGATAAAAAAAATAGAACGGAAGGCAAAATTAGATAAATAGATAGATAGTTACATATTTTTCATTTACACTTTCTCTGGTAGTTGATAAATTAGATAAAACCGATTTTCTAATGGCACTTATCAATATCCCCTGCTTACAATAAAAAAACGCAATTCAAATTTGAAATCTTTTATAATATTTATAATCACGATTATAAAATTCTAATTAACATAAGCAACAATCAATCTATTACACATTCATATCAATTACAAATTATCCGATGAATATCAAATATAACTTTCTAATACAACTATATAATTAAAAAAACAAATAGGATGATAAATATTATTTACCATTAGGTTACTCATGTTGTTTTTAATTGTCAAACCGTCATTAATAATTTAATACAAATAAACAATATAACAAGTTAATAATATCAACCACTTGTTATTTACCATTAGGTTAGGCATGTTGTTTTAATCATATCTTTCTGCAAAACAAATTTATGTAATATCAAGTATACTACAAAATTTAAAAGAGATTGATTTAAAAAATATAAAACATAAGCGAAATAATTAGGAAGTTAGTAATGTTAATGTTATGAAAACGGTTTTGCGTGCTTCTATGGAAACTTTCAACTCAAAATGAAGGCTCTCATTCCCAAATTGGCTTCAACCGCTTGTTCACTTATATGATATAGAGTTAGGCAGGGGTGAGCAAAAACCGCGCCACAACTAAAATTAACCGTATAAACCGTAACCGATTAACCACAACCGCAATAAAAACCGATGGTGAGATTTTCTATTTTTCAAAAACCGCAAATTTACGGTGCGGTGCGGTTATTAGTTTTTTCAAAAACCGCAAAAAAAAAACCGCACACCGCATATATTATATACAAATTTTTTTATTAATTATTAACATATTAAATATTAAAAATAAGACAAGTTTTATGGATAAAAGAATGATAAAATTCTAGAAGACAAAAGTGTTGGTTTTTTCTTATGTTTAACTTTGGAAAATGATGAAATTTGACAATTTTAAGATATTTATTGTTAATTACCGGTGATTTAACGTTTTTAAGATATCAGTTGTTTGTAATTTAAGTTAATTGTATTATACCTTATGGTTTTTTATTATTACAAGTAATATGTTTAAACTCTTAAAATTGTTTGAACTGTAAAGTGCGGTTAAAAACCACACAAAATAACCGCACCAAATCCATGCGGTTAATAACCGTAACACAAAAAAACAAAACCGCACCGCAAAAATAACCGCACCAAGCGGTTTTGAAAATGGATTAACCGCATTTGCGGTTAGTGGTGAGGTTTTGGCCAATAACCGCACTGAACCGCACCGCGCTCACCCCTAGAGTTAGGTAGACTCAATTTTAACTAACGTCGTTTTTTCTTTGCACTTATCTCACATTAACAAACCAATTAAGAATCATTATTCAAATAACCTTTTGAGTTGTAGTATTTAAAAGATAAGTTGAAGAGTTGTGATAGTTTCAAATCAATATGATTCAAAGAAATACGTAAAAGATGTTAACAAATTAAATACATTTGGTACCCCCATGCTACAACATGTTATTCCCTCAAGATACTCTATTAACATTGTACTTTCAATATTTTTCTTATTAAAGCGTTGTACATTGAGAATGTACCCAATTATAACATTGTTCTTTCAATTTTTTTTATTAAGACCTTATATTTCTAAAAAGTCTATCCCATTATAGTAGTGAAAATCACTTTGTGTTTGCATGCCATTGCTATTTGTTATAATTGCGTAAAATTTTCAAAATATAATTTTGTGAGTCGAATAAAATGAAATAGGATGCTATTATAAACAAGTCAATGAAATTGTCTCGTTCCTTCTTGCACTTAACCCTAAACAATATACTTAGTCAAATCGGGCAAATTCTATCAAAAAAGTTTAGCTATTTGTCAAATAAGGAAGTCAAAATCCATAATTAAGATCTTAGGTTCAGGTCTAAGGAGGTTGTTTCTTTGACTTGATGAAGTTAATGGGTTAAAAACTTAATCTCGATTAACTATACATGGTTGTTTCTTTTTTACTTAGTCTTAACAAAATGACTTAATGGATTAAGCCAAAAAAACATGGCTCAATGTATTACGACACTACTATTTTACCTATTTGCCCTTCATATAATGTATATGATCTTTCTTTTTTAAATCGATATAATGGTTTATCATGATGTCAAACAGGGTGAAATCACTACCACTTACAAATCATTCAAAGTATTTTCTGTGGCTTTCTTCCCACTCCATAGAATGATCTGTTCATCTTTATACAATATAGGCACACAAGGGACCAGATCCTGTGTTAAGAGAATTTCATTAAAAAAAGACATAATAAAGATGGAAACTTTCTATCACAAATAAGAAAACACAAAATACATACCCTTAGCTTCACAGCGATCCTTTTGGAGTCACTCATACCCACATGTGCACAACAGAGCTTCACTACTTGTTCGACTTCAAAAGCCTCTCTCACTTTTTCAACCACATTAGCATACACACCATTTCTTGCTGCACGAATGTCAAACCCCTATTAGTTGAAAACTTCCCTAATTTTGTCATTTTTGAAGGGTATATAGGACATTTGGCTAATGAGTAATGGTGATGTACTTAGTTTCATTAGTGGAGGAGAGTTAAGTCCTCGGTTTCTCAATTCTTTTGTTTCTTCAAATGTCAAGCCATCAGCAACATTCTTTATGAGCTTCGGATAAATTGGTGGATATGGCTTCCATAGCATTAAAGGAACAACAGGTCTATTTTTGGGATCATAATTTCGTCCACGATACAGTAGCAAGATGTTAATCTGTCTGTATATGATCTTCCCACCCGATTTTTCCTGCAATTATTGTATGTAAGCTAATAGCTTTGTTAGAGGATCCAAATTAGCAAAACAAGTGTGATTTCAAACTTCAAACCTCGAGGTGGAAGCAGACATTGTCCATATCAAGAGTCGGGACTCCTAAGCATTTGATCCTCACAGCTTCGGCTTTCTTCCAATGGTTTTGGATGTCATCAATCATGTTGTGTGTAACCCCACCCTTTCCTACCACAGCAATTTTAATAAGATTTGTCTGATTCTATTATGGAATCAATTTTGCAAAGATTCAATGTTTACCCAAATTGATTTGGCGAGAGCAATCACTGTGTCGATATCTTTCAACGAGTTCAGATACTTCTTCCTCTGATAACGGATTCCCAAGAACCGCATTCCTCTCTTCTTCAACCTTGGCAATGTCGGCTGCCTGCTGCAATGGAGCCACTGTTCCAGTCCATTTCCGGTCAAGTCGACCCGGCCCAAAAGGAGAGAATTTGGGGGTTTCTCGATACCCAATGGGTTCGAGGCTAGGGTTGGTCTCAGAGTACGAGTACCTGAAATCAAAGGGTAGATTTGATTTTATAGGGAATTTGTTTTGCGGTTTCTTGTTTGATACGTCTTCTTTGAGTTTCTTGTTCTTCTGATTTTGGGGTTTTAGGATTGGGGAAAAAGGTGGGTCGTCTTCAAAATGGGATTTTGTTAGGTGACGGAGGATTTGTGGTCGGTTGTGGCTATGGAAGTCGTGGCGCCACCGTGAAAAAAGCTTTAGCATTTGCAATTCAAAAGAATCTTTACGTACGCCCCAGCAAGAGCAACGTCAGTGATTCCAATTCCAACAGTAAACAAGGAATCAAACTTATGAGATCAAACTTTATTTCATGGAGTATTCGATTAAACACTGGGTCTTCACTGAACTTCAAACCCCTCTCCTTCGTCGCCCAAAAACTCTCCAAAACACGCCCCTGAAGGTCACGTGCATTGGTTTTCTTCCAACCGAAACATAGGTCACGTGCAACCGCAACCTCGCGTCATCCCTTCGACACAATATGGCCCACACGGAATGCAGGTTGTGGCCCAAGTTACGTGGCCCACAGGCCCTCTCCTGCGCCAAGCTCCCAAACAACTATATAAATCATTTTCTTATAAACCTCCCTCGTTTGCGAACTTTACAAAGTTTGGGTGGCTGGTAGTACTTTTTAGGAATTCAAGGGTGGTAAGTGAAAATATAAAGTTGATTTTTGTGTTTCTCATGAGAAGTTGAGAACACTCTAGACCCGAAGCTGGCGACAAGAGGAATTCAAACTACTGAATTGCATTTAAACCCTTCGTTAGTTCGTTTCATAAATCGATTCTCCCTCATCACATTTTCAATTGCTTCAGATCTATCTTGAACGGAAATCAGGTACGAATTTTTTTTTTGGAAGTGTTTTCTGTTCGTTTAATTGCGGTTTTATGAGATTGTTTCATCAGAAAAAATAGAATAATTGATGAACTTCTGTTAAATTGTTGTATTATTTATGTGGATTAGTTTGTGTGATTTTAGTTTCTGCTTATGTAATTTCTGATTTTAGTGATTTAAGTTGGAGACTTATATCGTGAGTCATTTACATGCACCTTAATCGATCAAGTTAAATTCAACTATTAATCTCTCACGGTGTTTGCTAATTTTAATTACACTGATTGATTTAGTTGCTATTAAACTCATGTTGTTTGTATATGAATAAGTTTCCTGTGGAGAAGTTTAGCATGTGTGCATATGATCATATATGTATTCATATTTTATATGCAAGCTGTTTCTAATATTCAGTCTGTAGGAAGATGTGTAACAATCATGAAGATATGAGGAGGTCATATTATCATATAATAATAATAGTTTATTTGTTGACCTTTTTAGTACGAAAGAGAAAAAACTTTTCTCACATGATTCACTGGTTTAACTTTGTGCTGAATTTAGAATCTTGAATCTGTAGGATCTGTTGTAAAGGAATGCAGAGGGAAAGACAAACTAGAGATGAATCAATGAATTCGTCTAATAGAAGCATGATGTCCAGCATTTTTGGAGGAAGGGATCCATTTGATGACCCATTTTTCACTCGCCCATTTGGGAGTATATTTGAGCACAATAGCATCTTTGATACACATGGTTCATCTGAGGATTTGCTACATTCAAATGCGAACAGTTCCAAGGGGCTAGTTATTGAAGAGATAGATTCTGATGATGAAGGAGAAGGGCAAAACGGTAATTCTGGGGTTGTTACGGATGACAAACCCCACAGAGTTGCCACATCTAGCAAAGATCCCCTTATAGAACATCCTGATGATGAAGGTATCAATGTATTATCACTCAAACTTTCATTCTATCTTTTAAGTAACGACTCATTCCATTACCATGTTCATTCTATTCCATTCCATCCAACCAATTACATTATGACAGAGGAAGTGAAGAAGGAGACGCGCTTGAACAAGAATCATAACAGGACCAAGACCCAAAGCATTAGTTTTAAAAAAGTTACATATGGTGGTATAAATGGAGCATACTACACTGCAACAACAACCAGAAAATCAAACAATGATGGAGTAAGTAATATTCCACAATCCACACTGTTTTGAATCTGATTTCCTGATTTTTTTATATTAATTAATATATCATTATATTTGGCAATCAGGTGGTACTTGAAGACACCAAAGAAGCTGATAAAACAACAGGTCAAGCAACACATAGAATTTCTAAAGGAATACATGACAAGGTAACCAAATTTTTTAAATACAACCCCGTGTACTTGTCGGGTTTTTGCAAATGAGCCCCTGAAAATCTTCTTTTGATTTGTTATTTGAGTATGTGGAAACTAAAGTTGGTTACGTGGTTTCTCACTAGGGTCACTCTGTCACTAGGAAACTTGGTACAGATGGGGAAGTGGACACAGTGCAGACCTTACATAACCTTAACCAAGGTTAGAGTTAGTTTGTAAACTATGGTTAATATACAGGAACATTTGCTCTTGTTAACAAAGGCAATTGGTTTGCTTATTGCTTAGATGAGTTGGCAAGTTTTGAAGAAGAATGGGAGGGTAATGCTGACATGCACATCCCTCCTTGGAACGAAGAATTCAACTCGTTTGGGAAGCCAAGTAAGCATCAGTAATAAGTAATCATTAAACAGTAAATAGTAAACATCTTTTTCTTTTTTTTTAATGATGGTTTTATAGGGTTTGGTAGCATGGGACCATTTGGGTTGGCGCTTGAGGCAGCAGGTGGCTCCCAGAGAAGTGGGAGGTTGAGGACTGAAAATCAAGAGCAGACAAGTTCTTCTAGAAGCCAACCTAAAAAGGTTGTTAGAATCAACATAGATTGAGTTGAACGCATTATAGTTTGGTCAATATAGGTTATACATGTATTTTTGGTAAATATTGTTATAGTTCATTGAATACGTTGTATGATTTGAGTTTGTATGTTGTGGCAATAGTGGTCGAAAATAAAGGTATTGTATTTGGTCTCTGTTACTAAGAAAATCTCTATTTTTTATTTTTTTTAGTTTTTTGAACTTGTTCCATTGGTGGATGTTATGTAGAAAGAAACTAGGGGGTGTTATATATGCTGGAAGGAGAGCAAACAATGGAAGAAAAAGCAAGGAACTCAATACTCTATATATTATTGAATTGGTAAATCGAAGATTTGTTAGATTTTCGACTTACTCATGCAATATAAGAAAAATAACATGGTGGGAAAAGAGAAACATTGTAGTTATGTGACTCATACATATCCCAAGTAAAGAGAAGTTGATTAATTTCATGATGAGACATACAAATATACAATCATATTGACATAATGACATTTATATATAGGAACATTGTTTTTGATTTCTGATCAAGGTTTGAGTTACATTGAGGTTTTGGAAAAAGAAATATATATATATATATATATATATATATATATATATATATATATATATTGAGTTGTGGAGTGTAATACATTTCTTTTGAACCTCGAATGATACATGTGAGGAATTATTTAAAGGATATAGCATTACAACTATCTAACATTAGTGTAGAAAACGCAAATACATATTCGGTTATGTGTTATTTTTAACTAATATTGTTTTGTTCCACAACTTTTTTGATTTTTCTGTTTTGAGAATTTAAGGCGAGTGAGTGCTTTTTAATATTTAGATAAAATTTCTTTTTAGCAAAGAAATAAAACTTGTAGTGCAAAAATTGAGTTTAGGTTGAGAGAAATTTAATATGCAAAGATGAGAAAATATCTCAAAAATGGCTTAAACAAGTTTAAAGTTTTGGAAATGGCAATACAAAATTGGTAATTACTTTTGGTAAAAAAAATCAAAATAATATCTAAAACCATTTTTCCCATGACTATTTTTATGGTTTTCTGAAAATATAGAAAAATGTCATCAAATAAGAACACAAAATTCTGTAAGAATCTAGAACTCAATCACAAGTTTTGGATATAAGTCTGTACAACAAAAGTCGATATTTAAAAAGTCGGTAGGCCTCACCCTTCCTATCTTTTTTTCCTTTCTGGAAGTTTCTATCACTCTCTTATTATTCTCCTATTCTCTCTTTCTCTCTTTGATTTCGAGCTTTAAAGGTAAGTTCTTCTTCCAGCTGAAGTGAAATTGTTTACACTGTGTTTGTTCATCATTAAAAATAAATTTGTCAACGTATTTCGCTGACCTTTGCTGTTCTTGTTTGCAAAATCCCTTAATTGCTTAGTTTCTCAGAGTAAAATGTCAAAACTATTTTGGGGCAAAGATCCATTTGATGATCCGTTCTTCACTGATCATTTCCATGACCATGGTGGATCTAGAAAGGAGATAACAATCGAGGAATTGGACACCGATGGCGGAAATTCAGCTCCTAACACACAAGTATCAGTCAACAAAACCCCAACACACAAATCTCAAGGTACACAATTTGATCGTTAATTTATATTTTCCGTTTCTTAATCTTCATATGAATCTATGGCTGAACCGTGTATAGAATCTGATAGCTTCAGCTTCCGAAGAGTTGCATATGGTGGTGTCAATGGAGTGTACTACAGTTCTTCTATAGGCCAAAGGACTGGTAGTGATGGGGTATGAATGATTGATTGCGTGGTTCTTTGGATTTTTTTTCTCCTTTGTATAGATTTTATGTGATGTTGAAATGAAATATTTACTGGTGTACAGGTGGTTTTTCTAGAAATCAAAGAAGAAGATAAGACTGTGGGTCAAGCATTGCATACAATTTCCAGAGGAATACATGAGAAGGTGCAACTCTTTCTTTGGTTTGATCATTTATACCTACACCTATTAAGAAATAAATAACAACATACTTTCACTGACTTGTTTATTATAGCATCCTACTTCCATTGATTACTATTACAAATACAAAAAAATCAAATGAATTATTTTCACTGCTATAATTGGATAGATATTCAAAAGTATGATTTCCTAATAAGGAAAAACTGACTTCAATACACCTTGATAAGAAAAAGGATTGAAAGTATAATGTTGTAATAAAAAGATATAAAAGTATGTTAATGTTTCTTGTATTTAGTCTTGATGTTAAATAGAAAACTAATCATGTAACTTCTTATTATGCTGGTGAAGGGTCATACACTGACAAAAAAATGCGACCCATTTGGCAAAGAGGATTCATTGCAAATTCTACATAATCTAAATGAGGGTATGTTTGATGTTTCCTTCTAAAAAGTTGTTTTTCTTTTTTCTCATTGCTGAGTTGTATAAAACCCTATATTGTGTGGAATTATTTAGATGAACTAAATGCGTTTGAAGAAAATTGGAAAGTCAAAGCAGACAAGCATATACCTGGTTGGAATGACGGGTTCAATTTGCTTGAGAATGCAGGTATCCAAAAGGGTTAAATGTGATATATAGCAACGTACTTCTATTTATTTGTTTATTATAGCATTTGGATTCCATTTCTTCCTATTACAACACTTTATTCTAAAAAACTACACAGCAATGTCATCAAAATAGAAAACAATCTATTTGGGTAGATTTTAGAAAATTAAATGTATATGATGCTGTAATGGAAATAAATGAAAATATGATGCTATAACAAACATATATTAAAAGCTGGTTGATATTTTTTTTATCTAAAGATGGCATCATTAAGTATTTATTGTGTTTATAGGGGTGGAGGGTTATGGTCAGTTAGGTTGGAAAGATGAGGGGGCTTGGGGCAGGTGGACACTGCCATGGACAGATGTGTGGGGAACGGATGGTGGTCAGCCCTCTTCTGGAAGGGTCAAAAAGGTTACCCCAGTTGATATCATGTAATCAACTCTATAAAAGTTAAACTCGACTCCGACCGAGTTGACTTATGACTCGGATAAGTTTAACAACTATGGACTTATACTAGATGCGCAAGTAGTTTGTTAGTGTGTTTTTAATGTTATGTTGTTGTATAAACTTTGACATATGTTTCTCTTTGCTTTATTATCGTGCGTTTATTTTCTTGTTTTCTAAATTTCATGTATGTTTAAGTCTCAAAATCTAGACTATAATTATTAGTCATTTGGTGTGATTAGATCAACAAAAAAATAAAAAAAAGTCAATAAGGAATCAATCCTTCCTAAATAAAAATGATTTTGCCATTTGTCATTTTCTAATGCATTATGTCATATGGTTTTTTTTTCATTTCTTTTTTTCGTATGTCATTTTATGGTTTTTCATTTTATTAAATTCTACATAGTAATTAATGTAATAA